TTTGTTTTTTTTTTTCATTTTAGAGAGGTGTCTCCTGTATACCAAGGCAGGTATTCCAAACAAACAATAGCAATGGATGGCATAACAAAAATATGGTGGTGAAGCAAAACTGGTAAATCCAAGGAAAACACCCATTCTAGAGCACACAGAGAAGAGATGAAAACAGAGAGAGTAATCAGTACAGGTATATTCAAGAAAACTTTTTCTAAACAATGTTCCTGTATGAAAAAGAAACCAATTATACTTGCAAGTCACTTGCAGAAAATTTTAATAATTTGCCAAACATACAGCTATTAGAATTACCCTAAATATCACTTATAATTAAGTTACAAAAGTTGGTAGATAGCATAGTACAATGTTCTATAAAATAAACACATGTAATATTAACAATCCCCCCCACAGTCCAACAATGGCAAAAAAATAGCAAATGAAACTACAAACACATACAAACCAGAGGAGACTGAGTGATGGCTTTAGAGACTTGAATCAAAGAAACTGAGACCAGACAAGACACATTCATCCATCAAGCATAATAAATGTAGAATTTTAGATTTTAAAAACAATTAACGACACATCATCAGGTGCAATTTCACATGCTTTCATTTATCTTCCAGTACAGTTCCCAGAGTATTAAAGTGCCTTTGTGCACTCTAGTTTCATTTATGGTCAGGTGCAACACACCTCATATTTGGAGGTTACTTCAGAGGTCACTTTTTGTTAAAAAATATGGTAACTATTTGAACCAACACACACTATTCAAACTAAGTTGTTTTTAAAATACCTTTGTTCTGACTATTTGCTGTTGAATGTCATATAGCAAACAAATTAATCTCCAAATACACAGGGCCCATCTCCACTAAACAAGATTACAGTAAAAGGTATTTCTTGAAGTGTGTTTTCTTGCTGTGCGATCCTTAGCTTTTTCTCATTTTTCCCCCCTGTTCAAACACTGCTCAGTTATGTCTGTCCTTCGGATGACAACCTTCTCTGCAGCTTTCCTTTACAGATTGCTGTGAACACGGAAAACGGGCAGTATTTGTCCGGTGGCTACGGAGAGCCATGTACTTCACAGATAACCTCCTACAACAGTCTGTTGGAACTCGATGAATATGCATGGCATATTCCCCCTGCGAGATGCTTGAAGACTTGCAGCCTTTGTCTCTTATCCGTAGCGATTACCCGCACTGCAGAGCTGACCAGATATCCCCCCAGGGCTCCTTATGAACTTTCACCACTTCCCGCTGTGCTACTTTCTTAAACCCCAACCTCAATATTCATTGCGGTAAGAAAACTTCATGCAGTTTGGCTGTCACTCACCTTGCCCCCAAAACGTCCTCTTCCAAACACAGATAAAGAAGTTTCATAAAACCTACGATCATCTCCCGTTGAAGTATGCTCTCCCACTAACATTCCGCTCCTGCTCTTTCATGGGAAAGAG